AAGTTCCTTAACAGCAACCAGTTTATCAGGCTTAGGATTCCAGTAGGTGGGAGATATCAAGAGGGCAACGAAGACCGCCAGGAATCCTCCAAACGAACCGCAGACCTAAAACTCAGCATGTTGCAAGATTTGACGAGGGATTGCAGGGATGCCACATCAGAACCTGTAAGCCTTGACCTTGATCCCTTAAACCATGCGGACGCTTGGCAGGAAACGGCCTATTTGCCTGTGTGGGGGGGAGAGGGGGTGGAGGGGGTGGGGGGGGGAGGCTCAAGAGAAAGTATCTCAAAGTTCACACCCTATGAGCCCTAAGCCTTGCACCTTGCTTCGGAAGCCATAAACCCCGAACCCTTAAGCGTAAACCGCCAGGATGTGGGCTCCCTCAAGCGCACCATGTCCCTCATTGAGAAGCGGGGTGAGGCTGCGAGAGCACTAGTAGCTGAGTAGACAACTAGACAATCGTTGACCTTGGAGAAAGAAACCGCAAGTGGGTCAGCATTGCCAGAATCGCCCAGATAAAGTTTCATATAGTATGATATCCATGGTAATGGTCCAATCGGGTCGTGATACGGATGTCATTTCAAACACAGTTCTCAAGCGGGTACTTGGAGGTGCCTGGCTAATTAGTTAAAAGTGGCGTTAGGTGAAAACAACTGTGCGTTAGGGGGGGTACAGTATGACTGATGGAAGATTGCCTCTGATTGAGGGGTGATGCATGTACATTCTTCAATCAATCTTGAAAGGTTTGCCTTGCGCAACGGGCTGCAAGTTCCGTGGGCCGGGTCTAGGTTCTGGTCTAGGTTTTCTTCACAGAAGCCCGGAGCACATGGAAGCTTGAATACTTACCAATTGTGTGGCCCCGAATTCCTTGCATGTGGTACAGTGCACTTCGAACAGACCTCAAGCAGGGTATTGGTAACTATCTGGCTTCCCCAAACTACATTGTCCTTCTAGACCCCTGTTGAAACACAGCTTCCATGCAATTCTCCGTTTTCCTTTCCGCTTAAACTGGCCCCCTATACCAGTTGACCCTAAAACCCTAAAACCCTAAACCCTAAACGCTATACTAGTTGACTCTGGAGCATGGCAGGTCACGACAGTCATTGACAAGGTCAATGATGCCCTGGAAAGAGGGGAGGCGCCTTCACTTACTGACTTACTATAGGGGTTATATTCTATTAGGGGATATATAGGGGTTGTATTAGGGGATATATAGGGGTTATATTAGGGGATATAAAGGGGTTATATTAGGCGATATGTAGGGGTTATATTAGGGGATATATAGGGGTTATATTGGGGCTATATTGGGGTTGTATAGGGGTTATATACTGTGGAATGACGTATCGGGGTGCTTGAGGGGCCTAGCGAGAGGATCTGTGCATTGAAATACACGCGAAGAACGCCAAAAAGAAGTTGCCAGCAAAATTGCCCACTTCAGAACGGCCATTCCAAATTTCCGTGTCGGTTCTGGGGTTCTGAGGATTTCAGATTGCTGGCCATTTTTGTTATCGTATCCCAACCCTAAAGCCCAAGCCAGGTCCTAAGCTTACACCCCCAATCCTCTCCCCTTAATCCCAGTTACTCCCTAAATCCTAACCCTAAGGATCCAAGGAGCCCAACTTCAGGGCCCAATCCAATGCGTACTTAGGTCCCCCTTGGTGGTACAACCCTCGACCCTAATCCTAATCCCTGTAGGGTATACTCCACCCCGAATCCTCAAGACTAGAAACCTTTAAACGGTAAAGCCCCAAACCCTAAACCCTAAACCCTAAACCCTAACGGCATGTTGCAGCGAGGTCCTGGACGAGGAGGGGCCTGAGGCCCAAAGCCTCGCCGACCTCGTCAACAGGCTGCGGAGAGAGCCCCGCAGCTGCATGAGGGTTTGAGGGGCCAAGGATTTGGGGCTGGGTTTAGGGTTTAGGGTTTGAGGTGTTTAGGGGTTTAGGATGAAGGGATGTAGGGAGATAGAGTGGGTGTAGGGGTTTCGGTTTAGGGGTATTAGGTAGGGCTGAGGGGCCTAAACCAGCGCAAAGAGACATAGGGGGCTTGAGGAATACACTGACACCTTTATGGGATTATCAAAATTCTGGTCTCCTTTCCGGGCATCCTAGAGATTAGGGGCCGCATGGTACTAGGGACTAGTTTCGACAACCTATCTTCATTATACCAACGTGTACACATTTGTCATAGGATTTACGGTATAATAGAGCCTAGAACCTCTCGGCTGCGTTCTTCGTTCGGCTTGCTTGTGTTTCAGGGGAGGGGGGTAGCTTATACGGGTCACATATAGAGATATGCAGTGATTTTACGGGCATATGTTTAGGGCATTACCGGTGCCTGCGCGAAAATATGTGTTCCCGAAGAGGGGGCTACAGAAAAGGACATTAAGGGCTCTTGAATGAAGATGTGAGGTTTGTTTAGGTCATGCAAGGCCCCAATATATACCCTATAGAACCCATTATAGTAGGTTTCCATTTTGTTTTCCATTATCCCCATATAATCCCAATATATTCCTTTCGGATTTGTGGAGTCTCTTCCCATGGAACTCCCTGCCCCAGGTGGCCTTTCAAAACCAGACAGCCCATTTCTTTCATGAGGGTGGTTGTCAAAATTATGGTCCCTTTTTGGGTCCCTATTATAATACGGCACCTAATATCTAATATTTTGGGCACCCAAAAAAGGATCATAATTTTGACAACCACCCATGAAGCTTTCAGGTAGGGACTTACCAGGTGGGAACGCCTACAGTTTAAGAGGTAGCTGCTTACTAGCCAGGCAAGCGTTGGCCAGTGCTGTTGCTTTTAGATGCTTTCAGGGTTTAGGGTTTCGGTTTTAGAGGCTTAGGGCTTATCGAATTTTAGGCAAAAGCCTGTGGCCCCCTCGATCTTGAACCCTTTTTCTTGATGCATCCCAACCCCTCAATCCTCAGCCAATAAACTTTGAACTGTAAAGACTATCGAATCCTGCAACCTAACTATGACCATACACCCCCCAAACCTTGAAACCTGTTTTCCGGGGCGATAACGTTGACAGTGCAAGCAAGGTCCGAGAAGGTCTGGCCCAAGATCAGCAGCTACGAGCAGGATATAGCAAACTTCAGCAAGAACTTGTACCTTGGGATTTGTTTAGCGGGTGGATCGGGTGTAGGTTTATTTGCCCGCACCTAAGTCTAGGATGGGGGCCAAGAGTTGAGGAAAATCTGATGCTAAACCCACTGGTGTCGAAAGGCTTCGTGTCCTTGAGCACCTTTCCTCTAGGAATAGGGGACTTCGGCAAGCCAACCCACCAAACCCTATAAGAATGATATGAGAGTCATAGTTCCCTCATTTTGGGGTCTGGGGTAGCCGCAATCCCTTCAATTTGAGAGGGGGGTGGGGTTCGGACTACTGGGGGCTTACGAAGCCTCAGGCATGACTTACAGGCGGTTATTAGTAGGGAATCAGGAAATATAATCCCTTTATAATATATTCCCTCATTCCTACTAACCCCGAGTAAGATGATGACTATGCTGATCAAGCATATGGAGATGTTGGATGATGGAATTTACTGATGAGAAGGAGGAGGGATGGCTTTCCTTGGGGACAGGCCTGGGCCAGGGACAGAGGGGCTAACGGTAAACGTCTGCACGGTGTTCCTCAAAGTAGCAAAGTGGAGGAAGGGCTGCAGGAAATTGCAGTATGTTGATTCAACGGAAGGCTTTGACGCAAGCATGCAAGCTTAAATCATGTCGCGCATGTCCCGGGGTCTAAACAAGACGCCCCCTGATGCCGCGTGCCGTTCCAAGTTTGGCAGGTGCTTGCCTCAACATTCGGTTACACTTTATGCTTTGGAAGCGTTGTCAGATGGATGCCTGCTAATTAAGAGAAGTTGCCGTAAATTCGTTTGTCCTGATTCTGTGTAGACAGACATTGCGCAACCTTTGCGTGACCTTCCTTGATTGATTGAAATCCTGCAAATCTTTACAGAACATCACGCAAGGCCTGTATCCTTAATTGCCATCAAATGCCTGTAGAGCCTTCAATCAAAACAGCCTGAACTTTCATAAGCTCAGGTCCCTGCGTTGTAGGATTGACAAGTGCGGACTTCATGGTCCTGCATCGGATGGCAATCAACCCCAAGAAGCTTCTAGGAACAAACAGGCCCCCTGCCCACCCTGATACAAGCCCCTCAGCGTGCCTGTGCAGCTTTACAGCCGAGAACGTCTCACTTCTGTAGCAGTCAAGCTGATGCTCGATCTGGCATTTCAGAGTTCTATACTCCTACTATCTCCAAACTGTATTCCCAGGTTTCGTTCAAGTCGACTTAAAACCTAGTACAGTTTCCTCTGTTATCCCCGTAGCCAAATCCGGGACACAAATAGCCCCTCCAGTTCATGATCCATATCTAACCGCGCCTGAACAATTACCCTTCGTCCCCCATTCGCCTTCACATGGATCCCTAAACAAACATTCACTTGAACACCCTAAACTCTAAACCCTAAACCCCTATCCAAAAACTCGCCTCTCCAGGTCACAGACCCAGACGAAGCTGCAGGCAATCCGGGACACCCCCACACGGGAGGCCGATGGGTTGCTTTTACGGAATCTAAATAGGGTTCAAGGTTAGGACTAAAATAGAGTTACTATAAAAAAGGGCACCATATGGTTCACTGTACATGCGTATTGCAGTAACTTAAGCCGTAAACCCTAAAGCCTTTTCATTATGGTAACTGAAGCTAAGTTTCTCAGCAGCAACCCAGGCTGACGACCTGCGCACCCATCTGAAGGCGCAGATCAACCAGGCAAGCTCAGGGGGGGCTGGCGTCAGGGTAGTGTTGAGGGTTTTCGGGTTGAGGGTTTTTCGGTCAGACATCAAACTTAGTCAGGGTTTAAGGTGTTCATGGTTAAGGATTTAGAGTATACAGTCTTAAGTTTGGGGTATAAGGTGTTGGAGTTAGGCTTTTCCTTTTTCCTCGGGATTGGGAGGGACTTATGGATTGATTCTGGGGCCACTTGTGGGTCGGATTTTAGGGATGTACAAAGATTGTTGGGGCGTTCTAGGGTCCAGATGTCGGATTTTAACAAGGGAGATTTGGTTTTACCCATTGCATTATAGATGCTATTAAAGGCATCTATTCCCTCATGCGCCAAACCTTATAAACCCTAAAAATCACTGAACCCTAAAGTGAGTACTCGTAGTTTTTGTTTTTTGGTCAGGGTGCATTTGCTATTGCGATTTGTCTTACTGGGGGTTAGTAGGATATTTGAATACAGTATATAGGGTTTCTTCAAGGATTATATTCTCTTATTATCTACCAACCACCAGTAAGTTGTTGGTTGTACTTGACAACTAGGATCACCATTGGGATTTCTGCTTGTGCTAGTGCTGATAAGGGAGTGGGTGAGGTTTGGGGTTTAGCTGTCATATAGGGATCATTGACAGACGGCGCGTGATGTCGTCAGGGAGTCCAATACCCCGCAATCAAGGGATCCGGCTTACATAGATTGAAAATCACATCAGGGGTGCTAGCATAATGTATAAACCCTAAACCCTAACTTGCTCTTTGGTTCAGGTGAAATCATTGTTGATATCCCTGTATCCTCCTAGTTACCATTTCATTTTGCATTCTTTTCCATTGCTTCTGCCCTATTTAACGCCTCAACCCTCCAACCAGAACCCAACATAAGCGCACAAGAAGCCATGTACATTCCCGGCACATAACGATAGACTCCTTGTAGGATTCCCCATATGGGATTCCCCAAGCCCCAAACTTAAATGATTCCTCATCCCCATTTTTCCCTATACGTCCCTGCATTAGGTTTCCTGGTGACCTGGTCATTTACCCAAAGCCCCAAATCTTAAGCATGGGCTTAGATCCCTAAACCCTAAGCCCTGAACCCTAACCATGAGCTTAGATCCTTGAAGCCGAAACACTGGAGGTCAAGCGAATGATGGCGCAGCTCGGGCGACTCCGGGACATCCAACGCGTAAACGCTCAGGCAGGAGGGCATTTTAGGGGTCTGGGTGTTAAGGCTTTTTTTGGGGGGTTGCTATAATGACTACAAACGTATATTGGATCTATAATTCGGATTTAAGGGAGTTGGGGTTCTCCGGGTTAAATTGGATCTTTGGGGTTTTGGAGTTATTTGGGATTGACCTAAGGATCCTTGAGTCTTAGCTGTTCGGGTTTAGGGGCCTTAGGATTTCAGATGGGAACAAAACTAAAGTTACAACCCAGTCATCTCCTACATCTAGTCACTAGTCTCTGATGAGCACGATCGTTGTTATTCCTAATATGCCGTTCTAAGGGGTGGCAATTAAGGGCCTTAGTATCTAGAGTATGGCGTAAGGTAAACGGGGTGTAGATTTTTAACCCGCCTGAACTCGAGCTCCCCAAACTCTACTCGGAGGTCCAGGATAATTGCATATACAGCAGTTACAGTTGTAATTGAACTTCTAATCTGCTTATTCGCCCCCTATGTCCCCCAAGGTGTCGAAAATTGGGTTACAGGTATCAGTTAGAATTGGGTTATAAGAAATAATTACCGAAGCCCTATGTATCTCTGAATCCCTCTGTGAACCCTACTAAAACTCAGGAAACCATATGAATTTGGGGAAAAGTATCCTTAAATTCAAGTAAACCCTAAACGTGCAGGAGATCGGGATGGTGGAGCGTGTTCGAGCGAAGCTTTCTCGTCAAGTCAGAGTACGCGCCTGGACTTACAAAAGAAGCAGTCCAAGCATCAGTTCTTAGGCACGTTAACCTCTATAGTATGTAGAATCAAAATGGAAAAGAAAATCGAAGATGACGTGGAAACTGGGAGTATACTGTGGTTTATGAGGGTTGCTAATCATGGAGGTTCTGATTTGGGGCTTAGGGTTTGGGGGGCAACAGAAGAGTCTGACCCATAATGGTTGGGGACATGCACAGGTACACATATGTGTGTACATATGGTGTATAAGTCTATGTGCTGTCCTACTTGAGTTTGACAATTTTAGAGATTCAAGGTTGAGAGCCTGGACTATAGGTTGAGGCTTTGGGATTTAGGTTTTTTGCTAGGGTATTTTAACATAGGAGGAGTTTGGCAGCCCCAACCCCCACAACTCGGACCTTTTTGTAATTATCGGGTAGATATAAGGTCCTAATTTGGGGGGTTGGGCTTACCAAAATCCCCTCATGGTATGAGATATTTGTTGCCACCGTCCCTGTCTATCAGGCTCTGGAAGTCGCGAAGCGATCAGAATTTGTTGTGGCTTTGGTTTAGAGTTTTACTGTGTGCGAGCCGACTGTTCAAGTCTTGGAGTCAAGGTTCTTGAGGCCTAGGATAAGAAATCCCACAGTTAACAACTCCAATTTGCTGGTTAGGCATTATTGGGGCGGGTTTAGGGTTTAGGCTTGAGGTGGTTTGATTTCAAAAAATTGGGGGGGCAGGGGGGGGGGGTGTCCATTTTGGGGCACCCTATAGTAAGGATTGTTGTACTTTGATTTTTCCCGAGTCTGCGGACATTCCCAAAGGGTTCTTTGCTCATGGCAGGTTCCTGCAGTCTCAGGGAACTGGGTTTAGGGTTTGCGGTCGAGGGTTTGGGGTTTAGGGAATAGGGTTGAAGTTTAAGGGTTTGTGTCTAGCACTGTAAAACAGGGAGAGGGGCTTTTCCTTGGCTAAGGTTTGAAAATCATTCCATTTAAAATGCAACACAGTCAGAAAGACCTTAGAATACTCCATTTATGATCCAGGTTAAGGGGGTAATGCCACTATTTTGTAACAGTTGTATAAGATGGATAATATGATCACATATCGGTATCGTCCTTCATAAGACCGCTGATATAGACTGTTACAGGGGGGGGGGCAGTAGCCAACATCAGATCATGCGGATCTTCATTCGTTCGCAGCTCCTACTGGGAAAGGAATTGCGGAGCACGTGCTAGTACTCTTATGAGAGGGCTTCGGGTATGTCTGCATGGGCTTTTTGGATAGGGCCCTTTGGTTGACCGAAAACAGAGAGAACCGCTGGCCGAATGTGTGATGAACAAAATGTTGCAATAACCAACTGCCGAGGCCTCCTGAAAATCAATGCTCTCAGCTTAGCACCAGCAGTATTTGGGGCAGGTTTGTTGCCAGGCAGGCTGGG